AATATGGATGGAGGACAACAGAGCTGCTTCATGGAAGAAGAACCTCAGCTTAGCCTGTTAGCCTTTGCGTAATCATTTACTCAGCATGTAATATTTTTTAAAGGTTTAGTTTAAAATTTACAAAAACTGACCAGCCTACAGTATTTTCGTCTTTATTTTACAGTTAAAATGCGTTTATCAAATAAAGTCTAATATTATAACTACTCATGGATCCTTTTAAAAGATTGCTTAATGATTTTGAGGCAGATATGTGGTTCACATGTTTAGCTTCATTTTAAGTTAGATAAAAATGCAGATTATGTATTTATGAGTGTGATTTCGTTTTGAAATGGTCTGAATCTGTACTACTGTCTGTCTTCTTCTGGCCTGGCTCACTTGGCTGTTTTATAGGATGTGCAAGAAAAATAAATAAATTGGTCAAATGAAGAATCCTTCCTGAGCTAGGCTCATCATTCTGATTCACCCTCCTCCAGTGATCATACTGATCCCCTCTCTGCTCTCCTGTCTGCTCTCCTCAGGACTGCATAAGACTGAGAGACATTTCCACCTTTACACATCTTTAATAAATGACTGTAAACACAGAGGAACTATGAGTTTGGTAGAACTTAGAAAAATTTTTATTAAATAGTTGAAGCGAAAGAACAAGTCACAGCACCGCAAGTTTCTGCAGCGGTGTGATTTATATTCTAGAATCATGAAGTCTTTCATTCAGATCAGCTGCACAGCTCGACTCAGAACTACAGTCAAAGACCTGACTGTAATTTGTTCGGTGTGACAAAACAATAAATAAATAAACAAACAAATAAATTAATTAATAAATAAATAAACACCCTGCCCTCAATTCTTCTTGTGCTGATATCAACAGTTGACATTGTGCCACAAATCACACACAACTTTACGCAGCAACAAATCTATTGTCTGCATCTTGTGGAGCTGAGGAATCATCACAGGTTGACAATGTTTTTTTCTCAGTTTGAATTAAAATGTTTCTTAGACAATTCACACATTTTATTCTCCTCAGCTGTGTGCGCACTCTGCAGGCCTGAGCTCAGCCTGTGTTTCCAACTGCATGACAACAATATAAAAACTTTACAGTTTACAGACTGGACTGAGGTTATTTGATCATTTTTAGGCTGATCTATTTCTTTGTCTGAGGTTAAATGATTTTCAGTCCCGGGGTTCAGTTTCATCATCGTTCAGTTTAAACAATAAAAACTCAAACTAAAATAAAAATCTGACAGCGTGTTCAGACGCTCCTTACATCCAGAAAACACAACAGAGTCATATTTCTGTGGATTCAGGTCAGATTCATGACTTTGTGGGTTAAAACTGTCGACTGAATAACTTTGCGTGGCTGCTGCACATTCTCACGGCAGGTGAAAAGTGTGCGTAAATATACACACACTTTTCACGCAATGTGGGCGTAGAACCTGGCGCACGAAACTTTTTATGCGTACGCACCGTTTATACATGAGACCCCAGGTGACACGCTGACTTTTTCTTTTGCGAAGCAACATTCAGCAGGTAAAATGAGTATTGAACACGTCACCATTTTTCTCAGTAAATATATTACTAGAGGTGCTAATGAC